TGTAATGTATGGACAGAGGCGTTATAGGCTTGTATGTAAGGATATGGGATGCTCATATTTTGTTAGTTTAGCTTTAACTAGGTTGAATTTAGGTAAATTTGTGAAGTATAAGTATAATTTTTTTATAGATTTTGATGAATTTAGGTTTTGATAGCATGCATTTTTGATAAGATATAGCAAATTTTCTTAAAATTATCATATAAAATACTAACTTCACCAAACCTAACATAACTAAGGCTAGAATAAATAAGTCTGTTAGATGGTTTGCATAAATATATATGGGTGGCCTGATTGGAGAGGATGTGACAAGGAATGTATTACAAACAATGGACATATGTTAGATGAATAGTTTAGCACTGATAATGTTGAAATATTAATGGAAAATGAATGTGTTAATAATAGCGCTCATCGGAAGTCATATGTACCTTTTTAATATGTGAAATTCTGATTTTTGGGGAGTTGGTTGAACTCAGCATATTGTAATTAATGTCCTAAATATACCTAGAAAAATATCTTGGAAATTGTGTATTGTTTGACCCAGTCGGTTGTGTTTGTATTTGTACATATATTGCACAATTAATATGCTTGTGTATTGATTGTGCAGATTATATATTTTGCATAAGTCGTATGATTATTGCAATTATGTATTGATTATATTTCTATAAATTGTGTATTGTTTTGTGCAAGTCGTATGTATTAATTGTATATGTATTTGTGGAAATTTTCTAGTTGTGTATTTAATGAATATGTGCTAGTTATGTATTGTTCAGTTGTGTATTGATTTTATTTTTGAGCAAGTTGTGTAAATGTCGCAATTGTATTTGTGTAAATCGTGTTTTATGCTAGTTGTGTATTTTCATATTTGGGGTAGTTATGTATTGTACGTATTTGTGCTAGATATGCATTTGTGCAAGTTGTGTAATAATTATGAAAGATGTGTAATATTTGTGAAAGTTGTTTATTAATTGCGCATGTTGTGTAATTGCATATGGACGAATTGTTTATTTATACCTTTGTGTATTTATTGTCATTGTGCAAGTCGAGAAATTATATAGCAAGTTTTCTTGTATTAATTGTGCAAAGATGTACAATAATTACACAAATTGTGCAATAATTGTACATATTTTATAATAATTTTTGTACTAATAGTGCATTTATGCAAGAAGTGTTTTTAATTTGTTGACGTGGAACTGGTGCAACTGTATTTTTGTGTGCAAATTGTGTATTTTGTGTAAGCTCTGTAATCTGAAAAAATAGACCTTAGTGGTGTAAGTGTATTTGGTTTATGAGACAATGTATGAGTATTTTGTGAAAATTATGTTTGTAGAATTGTGTAATTTTAGTGAAAGAGCATTTTTGATTGTCTAAATGCATAAGCATTTTGATATATTTGTACAAATATCATACTTTCTGTAAATGTTATAATCTGAGTGTACATGCAATATTGTGTTAATGGCATATTTTGGGTGCAACTGGCATCTTTTGTATGTAAATGACATATTTTTGTCTATAAATGTCATATTTTTGTGTGATGGTATATTTTGAGTGTAAATAATATATTTTGTGCATAAATGGCATATTTGGTGTGTAAATGCTCTATTTTCTGTGTATGGCATAAATTACATCTGATTAATGGGGAAATGGTGGTAAAAAATAATTAGGCTATTCTCTATGAATATATAGTGTGAAGTATGTGTAGGTATATATGATTGTATTTGCGACTGTTGGTTTAGAAACAAGTTAGCTGATTTGTGTAGCAAAACTAGGATTTTTTATTTTCGAGGTGTAGAAATGATTAGGCTATGAATATAGTGGCTAGCATCCAGCTGAGTTGCTAGATGGATGAATTGAGGTGCGACATTTGGATAGCTATTTGATGGATGTGAGGACAGTTGACTAGCCTATGAACACTGCTACTAATCCGCTGTGCTGCCAGATGTGTGGTGGCTACTTGTGGATTATAGTAGAATATCTAGCTATAGGGTTTCATAATTGCTGTTGTGTATAAAACTAGAATGACAGCTATTTATTAAAACTATTATTGTACACTAATACTTTAAGTGGGTTCCCTTGGTTGCTTTAAGCATAGGGTGGACATGAATATGAATAAGATTGGGTGGAAATATATAGGAGCTGCCTCGTATGGGCCAATAGGACTTTTGCAGTTACCTTTATTCTTATGTTCAGCTCACCTGCTATGCTGCCAGATGTACGATTCTACAAAAAATTGCAATATGACATTTGGGCTTCTGTTATACTTTTGCACTTATCACTGAATAATAATTACAGTTGTGGATAATTAAAATGTATATTCTTAAACCAGGTCAACTTACCTGTCATGATGCCAGATGTACGATTCTGCTCAAATTGCGGTACGACATTTGGGTTGCTATTCTAGTTTTGAACTTATCACTGAATAATGATTACAGTTGGGAATGACTAAAATGTATGTTCTTAAACCTCTGATTAGGTTAGGTAGGGATGGTTAGTCTAGTCATTTTTTGATTAATAATAACATCGAATACAGTACATATACAGGTAGGAAGCTAAAGGCCGCATTGGCCATCTGGTGACGTCATACATAGTTGACCAGTCAGGTGCTGTAATACCTTTACACCTATATGCTAATGGCCAGCAATACCTTATCCCTATACCTGAGGTCGCTTTCACGATGTCACTAAACAACAACAATAACTGGTCTGTAGAATGTATTTGTTTGTTATATATAATAAGTTAGGTTAGGTTAGGTTAGGATGGTTTGATCGGGTTTATGAATAACAGAAAATATAAGCAATGAGCGAAAATACGAGCTATTGTAGCTGAATATCAATTTTGATGAAGCACAGAGTATAGGTGAGGTATTAAGCCAGATTAAGAGTTCGCACTTATGTGTGAACCTCCTGGGATCCGCATTTAGCGCGCCTCGCGCCGCAGAAGGCCTTATTTTAAAACATGAGAGGCTTGCTTTTACTGAATGAGATTTTTTTATTTGTTATTTGCCACAGTAAGGTGTGGGAGGTATGTTTTGAGCGTATGTGAGACGTGTATGCGGTTAAGGACAATATTGGTTTACTACTGAACACGCATTGAAATTACCAATGCCCAGGGCTCTGTTTTTTCATATAAACGACTGATAGCAGTTTTTTTTTGCCCTATGTATAATAAACGATCCTTCAAGAAAGATTGTCAAAGCTCAAATTACATTCTCTAGAAAGACGAAGAAGAAATAGGGGTGACATGATAGAGGTGTGAGTGAATGGTCATAGCAAAGGGGAATATTAATATCCTATTATCGTATCAACATGAAACAGAACAAGAATGAATTGGATTGTTTTTTTAGATTTAGGAAAATACCTGGGTAAATACAGGTAACAGGGGGAAGAACTAGAAAAATACACAAATAACTTCTTGCTGTGCTGCTCCCCTTTTGTTTCATGCAATGGCCGATGGTTGGAAGTAAATAGGAAATTTAAAATAGTCTAGGGTTGATGGTATTTTACATTGGGTTTCAGGGTTACTGTTTTTTGCCCTATGCATAATAAACGATCCTTCAAGAAAGATTGTCCAAGCATTCAGCATTCATTGTCCATTACATTCTCTAGAACGACGACGAAGAAGAAATAGGGGTGACATGATAGAGGTGTGACTGAATGGTGATAGTAAAGGGGAATATTAATAACGTATCAACATAAAACAGAATAGGAATGAATTGGATAAGGTTTATATTTAGGAAAAAGACCTGGGTAAATACAGGCAGCAGGGGCCGAACTTGAAAATACACACATAACTTCTTGCAGTGCTGAAGTTATGTTCTTCCCTCACAAACATGATCCCCTTTGATAAATGTAATGGGCGATGGTTGGAAGCAAATATGAAATTAAAAATAGACTAGGGATGATGGTATTTTACATTAGGTTTCAGGGTTACTGTTTTTTGCCCTATGCATAATAAACGATCCTTCAAGAAAGATTGTCATAGCTCAAATTACATTCTCTAGAACGACGACGAAGAAGAAGAAATAGGGGTGACATGATAGAGGTGTGACTGTATGGTCATACTAAAGGGGAATATTTATAACCTATTATACGTATCAACATGAAACAGAATAGGAATGAATTGGATAAAGTTTTATATTTAGGAAAAAGACCTGGGTAAATACAGGCAGCAGGGGACGAACTTGAAAATACACACATAACTTCTTGCAGTGCTGAAGTTATGTTCTTCCCTCACATACTTGTTTCCCTTTGATAAATGTAATGGGCGATGAGTAGAAGTAAATATGAAATTAAAAATAGACTAGGGATGATGGTATTTTATATTAGGTTTCAAGGATAATGTTGTATCGCAAAACCCATGATGCTACGACAGGCTTTTTAATCCCCTCGAACATGCCGGTGCAGGAATGCTGAGCGGCTACCTGGTGACGTCATTGACCATTAGCAATGTCTGTGCAGGGTCACTAAGCAAACGAAATTTGGGGATGCCAGGGACCAGCTTTTTAATCCCTAGGAACAAAAAACTATGATGCTACGACCGGCATAGGAACAAAAAACTATGATGCTAAGACCAGCATAGGAACAAAAAAATTCACAAAAACCCATGATGCTACGACAGGCTTAGGAAAAAAAACAGGAAAAACCCCAGATGCTACGACCGACATAGGGGAAAAAAAACAGGAAAAAACCCATGAAGCTACGACGTGCATAGGAAAAAATGAAAATTGCACGTCGTAGCTATCAAAAACCCCTGACGACTACGACGTGCTTAGGAAAAAATGAAAATTGCACGTCGTAGCTATCAAAAACCCCCTACGCCTACGACGTGCATAGGAAAAAATGAAAATTGCACGTCGTAGCTATCAAAAACCCCCTACGCCTACGACGTGCATAGGAAAAAATGAAAATTGCACGTCGTAGCTATCAAAAACCCCCTACGCCTACGACGTGCATAGGAAAAAATGAAAATTGCACGTCGTAGGCGTACTTCCCACTACTGGTGGTGACCCGTGACCAGACCCAGGGACCAGGTGGTGACCCGTGACCAGCCCCAGGGACCAGGTGGTGACCCGTGACCAGCCCCAGGGACCAGGTGGTGACCCGTGACCAGCACCAGGGACCAGGTGGTGACCCGTGACCAGCCCCAGGGACCAGGTGGTGACCAGCACCAGGGACCAGGTGGTGACCCGTGACCAGCCCCAGGGACCAGGTGGTGACCAGCACCAGGGACCAGGTGGTGACCCGTGACCAGCCCAGGGACCAGGTGGTGACCCGTGACCAGCCCCATGGACCAACTGAGGCCGGACCTAATGATCCCCAGATATTTAACCAACTTTTTCCACCTGTGATTGTAATATTAAACAATTAAACTCAATACAATACTTTTCCTCTCTTGGAGGAAATATATGATGTGTTGAGGTTAACACTTAGTAAAGTTAATCTCAGTATCCCATATACTTTATTCCTTATGTTTATGCATTGATTATTATTGCCTTATGATCCCTGCAGATGACGACTCCTAGATATTTCTCCCATTAATACCTCACATATTCAATATTGTCCAGGTGATATATGGGAACTTTAGTATTATTATTACTAAGCTCAAATCCCAACATTTTACAGCATTAAACTGCATCCGCTAATCTTTTGTCTACGTGGAAAGTCTATCCAGATTGTCTTTTAGTACTTTTGGTAGTTTAACACAAACATGGAAGGTAAATCCACGTGGGATTTAACTCCATTCAAAGCCAGCTCTCTGCTGTCTTTTTTAATAACCAATGACCAAGGTGTAATCCAACTTAGGATAGACCACCATTACCATGTGCCTCCAGCTCTTTAGTCTTGTGAGGCGCAGTATCAAAGTCCTTGTTGGCGTCTAGTTAAAGAATGTCACAATCCTTCCTACTACCACCTTCTTGAAATTTACAGGAAAAGAATGATAGAAAAGGTCTTAAACATGAGCGGCTCTTAGTGAAACCATGTCGTTAATTCTTTATCAATCTGTTGTTCAAGGTGAAAACGAAAGGCTTTGGCAATTATCAATTAAATCCATTTGCAGTTGTTGGCACCACATCAGCAACCATCCATCACTCCGGTACTCTGCTCGAGTCTAATGAATAATTAAA